GCAGGGGGTTTGAAAATACTTCTTGGGACTCAGCATAAATAAAATTTGCAGCTCACTGGATCAAACCTGTTCAGGCGAGTGGTGGACTGATTCAGTAGCAGTGCCTATTACATATACCCACAACTATCACAACTGATAAACAGCTGACCACCTCAAGAGGGATTGGGATTGTTCTGTTTTCTTCTTGTTGTTGAGTTTGTTTTGTTTTGTTTACTTGTTTTTGGGGGGAAGGAGGGAGATTTGGATGGTTGGTTCAACCAAGATGACCAAAAGTGTCGAACAACTGCAAGATTAGCTGATGCTCTGAATGTGATGCAGATGACCACAAAAAAATCTGAAAATGGAGATTCTATTATCAGCAGCTTTCTTTCCTTAAGTGTTTTCTCCCTTCAGGGCATTTCAGGACAACATGCTGGGCTGTTTACAGTTTTGGAAAGAGCATTACACAGCGCAAACCCAAGCCTTTTACTTGCTCTGTACCAGCTATCCTTGAAGAAGCCTGAAAAATTCCCAGCATTAGAGAAATGTAGATTTACTTGTAAATGTTGCTTTTACAGATGCTGAACCTCTAAAAAGCCAAAGTGAAGATGCAAATTGGTAATACTTTGTAGTGGTACATGACCCCCTGAAAACACTGACAGAAAGGTAGGGCAAGAAGAGGAATAAAAAGAAGCACATTTAATTTGCCATATAAAAAGGATGTCAAGATATTTTATGGATTATGCAATGGCTCACCATTCCAGTTCAAAACTTCAGCACTTCACAGAGATGATGGTCCCATTTCTTAATGTGCCCCTTCCCCATCCTTGCTGCTATTAATTTTGTGGAGATTCTGGTACCACCATGCTGGGAGCACAGCTGCTTTGATACACGCAACACTACCTTCATGTTATTCCACTCTTCATGGGAGAAAAATGTTATTTCATGTGGCCTTCAGCTCTCAGACTAATCTATTACCACGGCAAAGAACCACAAGGTTGTGTGCTGAGCCCAACCCTAAAAGCCTTTCCTAATGCATGTGCACAGAATCAGTGTAAACAGCTCCATCAGTGTTTAAAAAGGAAAAAAAAAAAAAAAAGCTGCAATCAGTAAATTATATTTACAATGGGAGATCTATCCAGAAGATACAAATGTCCAAATAATTTCAGACAATTTTGCTGCCCAAAGAGACCTCATGTGATTAATGAAGAAAGAGGTAATATGAAATGAAATATTAAAACTGTCACTGACTTTGCAATCTGGGTTCCACAGAGAGAATGCATTTATAAGACTCCCTGTAAGAGACCAGGGAAAAAAAACACATGCCAGTAGTTTTGGTGTCCAGGTCCCTTTTTCAGTTTTAAGACTTCCATAACATATTGACTGTAAAACAGCCATGATCTACACACAGCTGATGGGCCAATGCAGTATGCTTTGTATTAAAAGGACATGCATGGGAAAAAAAAGGACTCAAAACACAACAAAAGCAAAACTGTGGTGAACAATGAGGCATACCACTGTCCTGCAAAATCATAAGCCAACTTGTCTCCAGAAAAGAAGAGCAAACAGATTATTACACTCAACTACCCCAGCTCTGGCCAGGCACTTACCTATCTTGTAAGCCAGTCACTTCTGTTTGCAAAATGTCTGTTCTGAAGAAGCATGCCCAGCCCTAACAATGCCATTGCAGTTATCCCAAATTAAAGTGCAGCATCTCAGGCTTTAACACCAGCAACATACTAAAAATTTCAAGAGAACTGCTTATTGGATTTAATAAATCTTAGTAATTTAAGTTTTATTTAATAAATATTAGCAATAATTTAGTATTCCCACTATTGCACATGTGGGTAGGTTCTCCAAGAGCAAACAGATCATCAGACAGGCATGAAAAGAGTGTATGCAGCACTACAGCCCAAATGCTTTATCTCTGCTGACAGTGATCCTAATGAAGGCTGCAGTCACAAGACAGACTATTTCCTCTAAGGATTTTCTACAAGTTGGTTTCCCTCATATTTTACACAGCTTAATTTTGAAGCAAACTGCCTTACCAAGACCCCCTGTGCTCTTCAGAAGCTCAAAAGAGTAAATGGTGCCCTCTGAAAACAGCCAAAGATCATCTTGCCAAGGACTATGAACTACACAGCCCCTCCTTTTGCAGGTACTTCATTGATAAAACAATAAAATCTGCTTCTGACACCCAGACAGGAGATCTCCAAGAACAAACCAGATGCCTAAAACATAATTTGGAATATACAGAAGCCATCACATAGCTCCAGGGACTTTCTACTATGTTTAAAATCTGTGTTTCCCTCCCTTCTGCAGTATGGAGATTTTGAAGCCAACATTTTCCTAAATCGCATGAAACAATATTGTGTTAAGAAGCCCAAGAAACACTACACCAGACAGAAGACCTGACTTATACATCCAGTTTTATTAAAAATACTGATTCAATCTATATCAAATGTCATGCTATTTTCACTAACCCTTTCTGTGTCTCCACCTGAAAAACTGAGCAAAACTTAAAAAACTGTTTATGTAAAACCAAAACTAAAAAGCTGATTTGCCCTCTTTGCACTGCATCAACTCAGCTTAACAAACAAGGCAACTCAAGGAGTCCTAGTTTGGTAAGTCCTAGTTTGCCAGTACCACTGGCATTTGAACAATGCTATAACAACAACAAAATCAGTAAAAAATAGGTGACATGACTCATATCCCAAATAGCTGCATGGGTCAAAACATAACTGTTGGAAGAACAGGACTATGTTCATTCTTAAATGACAGGGCCATATGAATTTCTGGCAATATAGCTGATTAGGTATATATGTCTAAATTTACTTCAAACAACATTTGATTTGTCTTCCCTTAACTCCATTTGTGGTAGTTCCAGATGAACCCTGAGACTGTTTATAGACGTATTAACTCTTCTTGGGTTAAAAATGAACAAACAAAACAAACGAAAACAAAACAAAAACCAAAACGACCAAAAAACCCAACCCGAAACACCAGAAAACATTTTGCATAGAGCAAACTTCAAGACACCTCGCAGTAATATCTAAATGAACAAAAATTTAAAATAAAGCTACACTGGACTAGAATCTTTAAACAAGGCTAACCCACAAACAAAAACAGTCTAGGATGGGTAACAACAACTATCTTAAGCATGATTAACCAAAACAATAAAAAAGCAAAACTAACCCATTATTTAGTTCTGTTTCTACTTGTGTGCTTGATTATGCTTAAAAAAAAAAAAAAAAAAAGCTGCTGAATTTAATAATTTGATTAGACCAAGAGTCAGTCCAACTAAGTGCCCCTAAACATGGAGAATAAAAAACACTTAGGAGAAGTGAAAGAAAGTTTATGATGCAACTATCCAAGAGAACCCAAAACTAATACCATGAAGGCACTTCCATTATATGGTCCTGGTTTTACTCTTCCAAGTTTTTAAATACTCCCCAAAGTATTTTAGTGTAAGCTGAAGTTTTGCCTTGATTAAAGCCAGAGAGAGATGGAAAGTAATTCAAAAGCACATTTTCTGTAAATGCAGTAGACACACTGCTCTAAATTGCACTCACTGCAATAAGTGTTGACACATAAAACAGGATTCCTAAAGAAAAATAACTTGTCTTTGTGCTTCATGATTGAAAAATTCAATGCTGTGTTTTAAACTGCAACTGCAAACAGCCCAGGAAATTCAATTACATTACAAAGATGTCAATAGTACTTTGTCATTTCAAGATCCTGTATGACTGCAACAAGTAACTAATTGCCATTAGAATCTTAATTTGTCTTCCCAGTCAGGATTAAATGAGCTAAATACACATAAAGAATTTTTCAGACAAAAGAGGTACATTAAAATTCTAGCTATTTACAGCAAAATGATGAAGACATGGAACAGAAACTTGCAGATATCAGCTCCTAAAGGTCAGAAAATGAATGGTAAATATAAAAAGGGAAGTAATAATAATAAATGTAAGCGATCGCCCATGTCTGGAGTCTGACAGTTTCATTTACCAATGAGAATATGGAGCACTTTCATAACTATTATTACAACTTCCACATAAATTTAATGAATTCTTGAGAAGAGAGATATTAGTTTCAATCCAGAAGATAGGAAGAGAATAAATATAACTTCACAAAGCTGTAAGGCAAGTCAAACAGCAGAACTGAGATCTGGAAGATTAAGGGTTGGTTTCCACAATTCCATACTCAAACCACAGCATCTTTTGTTAAGTACTATACACAGCGGGAAACGAGGGACACAGAGAAAAGAAAGCCAGAGCAATAGACAAACAGAGCAATACAGAATTCAGATTTAACTCCCTAAAAAATTATTGCCATTTAGATAGAAAGGCAAAGGAATTCTCAATTCAAAGTCCCATTATTTATATTAATAGTCACATTAAGGCTCTTCAAGCTCAAGGGCCACAGCCAAGTGCCCCCAAGTGACATCACACATTCCATAGTAATGCGGGAGTGCCAACACCACAGAGCAACAGAAGCAGCATCACATACCCCAAGGTGAAGACAAAGTGTTTTATGCATTCAAGGCTGCACTTAAAGCACAAGCACCTTATCCAAGTAATAAAGAAAAAGGAACTGGAAGCAAGAACATGTTTTAGAAAATACAGGTCATATAATTTCTTGCACACATGGAAATATAGTAACAAGACAAAAAGCAAGAATGATCCACACAGGAGCTGAAGTCTTCACACAAAGATGCTTCAGAATTATAGAAGAGGTGGGAGACAATGAAGATTTAGACTCTGAACAAAGAAGCAGACAATTCTTGACACTGTTGCCCTTCTCAGCCTTAGACTGAGTCTGTGGGAGAAATATAAAGGGAGGGGAAAAAAGTGTCCAAAACATGAGTCAGAGACTCCTCTCAGCAATCCTGCGCTGCCCAAGGTGCAAAATTAGTAATACGTACCAGGAAGAAGGAAGCAGGAATCACTCTGCCAGGACAACCCAAAACACCTCACTGAGAGCATGTGAAGGGGAGCTGAGAGAGCACACGGATCAAGATGATGCTCTCCATGCTCAAGCCTGACACCTCATCATCCCATTTAACAAAAACTGGAGACAACAAACAGCTACTAGACAACAATCCCAGTAAGAATTCCTAACAACCAACCAAGTCCTGAGATGCAGACAAGTACTGCTTCCTCTTGTAGAGGAAAGAAGGTCTCCTCTTGTTTCAAGCAACCCCATCAATGTTTTTCATTAGGCAACTACTATATCCTGCAATAACCTTCCAGTAAAATATTTCTATTAATCCTCTTCCACTGCACATCACATTGTCATACACTTTTGTAAAACAAAATTGTTCTGTTCTTACCATATTAATATTTTGTTTCTATCACCCTCCTTGCTAGGACAGCACAGGGCTACTAACACAAAACACACAAGGTAACTAATATCATGCACTATGCCATTTATCAGGCCCCCAGAAACTCAATAGGGAAAAAAAAGTACCTTAGTGCTGTTCCCATTAGTAGTAAATATTCACATCAACAATAACTCTGCAAGACCCATGAGTTCAGTCAGTTTGCTAATCAAGGCATAAAAGATTAGTACTAGAGTTTCTTTCCAGAAGTTTCTTTAAAAAATAATTATTCAAATGCCAAACTTCTGGCAGAGGGACAGCAGCAGACTGGATCATTGCTTGCCTTCTTTAGAGCTGGTTGTTACAGCTGCATAAAAGTTACAAGTGCTGCTTGGAAAATGGAAAAGTAGGAAACAACCAAACAAGAATCCAGAGGGTCAGTTATGACTCAGAAAAGGGCAAAAGAAAGAAAACTGAGAAGAAGCTGTCAGCAAAGTAAACATTCGGCAGAAACTCCCAGCAACTCAATCTGAAAAGGCACGTTCAGACATTTGGATCCAAATACATTCTTCATTCCAAGCATCAGGAAAAATATAAATGCTAGTGGACAGCCCTACTCATTAAGAGCCACACTGCCACAAAAACCACATTTATTTGTGACCATCAAAATAGAAATGGACCGATTTTTTAAAAAAATATTACCCAGAGAAGCAGCAATTGTGGACTCTGGAACGGCACACAAGGTACACTGAAGAGCTGAATGTTAGGAAATGCATTACAACAGCCCTTCAGAACACAAGAAAGGGTTTCACATTTAGCAGAGAATTTTAGGTCCTGTTGCCTGCATCACCCATAAGGCATTCAAATCTGCATGGATTTAACCTCACACCACATTCTGAAAACTGACCCAACAACAAACTTAAGAGACCAGTAATGGACTGGCAATAAGTGCACATTACCAGCAGGTCATTCTTAGGTCCCTTTTTAACATTCCCATCAGCAATTTGAAAGAGGATGGGAGTGGCAAAGGCAAAGAAGCCAGATGACATTTGCAGAGGACACCAAGCTGGGTGGAGCAGTAAACAAGGACAAATATAGAAAAACACTGTGGGTTTTTAAATAAAGACCAAAGAACACTTCATACAGAGGAGAAAACAGAGCAGCACTGACCATATTGACAGACTTCACATTCATACAACCTATCTTCTTGAAGACAGACTTGCATCTAGATAACAATTCTTGAATCTGCCTACAGAACAATACTCGAAAGTGTGCAGTGAGAAAAGCTACTCGTAACGACCTACAGGATCTCTTGAAGATGAAATGCTGATTTAGTACAGGAAAAATTGCTTTCCAAAGGCAGCTGAACGCATGGTATTGAGAAGATCACAAGTAAACCAGAAAAACACTAGAAGAACACTACAGAAATTTAAGTGTTGTCAGGAAAAATATGGTACATGGCAACAAAAACGTTCCCATAGCTGGTGAATTAGCCGGGTTGGTTTCCTCTCAAGACAAGATGTAACTAGAGGCACACCTGAAAGCATTTTATGCCAAACACTACTTTCACAAGCAAGCGTTCTGCAACACACGATGAAAAACAGGAGAGATAGAGCAGACAACGCTTGCTGGACATTTTATTCGGGTAAGGCCGGAAAACACCACCAACAACAAAAAACATCTCGCAGCAACAGCCTCAGAACGCAACCGCACCGAGCCCGGACTACGGGCCCGGACGGTGCCGTGGGGACAGCACGAGGGGCGACGGACGGCGAAGCACCAGGCACCCAGGCTGGCACACAAAATCCGGCTTGTGGCGCGCTCGAGCGGGCGGAGCGGGCACGGGCTGCCGGCCGGGACGGGGGAGCTCTCCGCGGGGCTCCCGTCCCCGCCGGCCGCCAGCGCCGCGGGTTTCGCCCTCCCGCCACGGCGCCCGGCCCGCGGCGGCGCGCCCGCCTCCCCGCTCCCCCCACCGTAAGGCCGCGGTCCCGGAACTCCCGTACACAGGCCCCGGCAGCGACTCCCGAGTCCCTCCCGACCGCGCTCCACCAGCCGCGGCCTCACACGGATCGGCACCGCCGCCTTCCGGGGCGCCGCCGCGGGGCCGGCCGCGCCCGCCCGGGAGCGGCGGCGCGGCCTCGGCGCGGGGCCGGCGGCCGAGCTCCGGCCAGGCGGGCCAGCCGAGCGCCGAGCGGGGCCCAACGGCGGCGGCGCCGAGCGCGGGAGCAAGGCCCGAGCAGCCGAGGCTAGAACGCCGCCAGGCAGCGCCAGCCGAGCGACGAGGTCTCCACCGCCGCCCGGGGGCGACGGAGGGCAGGCGAGAGCAGTCGAGCCCCGAGAAGTGCGGGGCAGCGCCCCAGCCCAGAATTAAAATCTGCATAATTTAGCTTAGAGAGGCGTGGAATACTGGAAAAATGCTCTTAACAGAACGAATGCAAACGAACACGTGCGATAGTCAGTTTGGAAGTCAGAGTGGAAGTTCCTATTCTATATTTCCAGGATAAGGGTGGTCCGGATTTAAAAGGAGAAGCGCGTGTTCGTGTCCTCACGAACGCCCGGTCCGCAAGAACCGGCCCGGTGCCGGAGCAGCGGCCGTGCAGGTCTCCGGGCTGTCGCAAACAGTTCGAGCTCCTGAGCTTTAGGGGACGACGTAGCAGGCGGGTCGGGAAGGCCGGACCTTCCCAATACCTCAGGCAATGGGGAAAGGAAGAGGGCAACGGGAGTTTAGGATAAAAGGAGGCTGCGTCCTCCAAAATCTTGAGAGACCCGCGGGGGTATGGGCCAGGGAACTCTCTCCTTTTATTCAAATAAAATGAATAAAGTTGCAGGACTCCGCTGTCTCCTTTCTGGACACTGGCTTTTCACAGCATGATTTTCTGCATAAACCAAATCACAAATCCCAAAGCAGTTTGCAGAAAAGAATTTTTTTCGCATTTTTTTCAGCCTGGATAAGAGAAGGCTTCTGGATGACCTAACTGCTGACTTCTGGAACTTGAAGGGAACTTGAGGAAAGATGGGGAAGACTATTTACAAGAGTGTGTAGTGACAAGACAAAGGGGAAGGCTTTAAACTGACAGAAAGTAGGTTTAGATTAGTTTTAGGTTAAAAATTCTTTACTGTGAGGGTGGTGAGGCACAGGAACAGGTTGTCCAGAGAAGCTGTGAATTCCCCACCCCTGAAGTGTTCAAGGACTGGTTGGATGGAGGGAGCTCTGAGCAACCTGGCCCCAGGAGGGAAAAGAAAAGTGTCTTTTTTGAGGGAAAAGAAAAAAGTGTGGGCAAATGGTTTTGAAGGAAGCTGCTTAGGAGTTTGTGGTGGAAACTGCTCCCTACACCTCCTGAGTGAAGAGAAGGGTACTGACATCTGACTCGGGTAAGAATAGTGCTCAGTGGATTGGTTTTATCTGGTGTGCCCTGATGCAGTTTTTGCCCAAACTGACAAGCAGTGAGATCAGTTTTGAAATTAAACTCTACCACAGGTGACAGTGGCTGAAAGAAGACAAAAGCGAGCAGCAAATGTGTTCCAGGAAGTGCCTGCACTCGGAGTTTGCTCTGGCCTCAGCACACGCTGGGAAGAGCTATTCATAGCGTAAATTGAGAAACTCCAGCTTGTCATTAAGTGACAATGTTTGTACCTACACATGTCCAAGTCTCACTTGACCTTACCACCACCCACACAGCTCATTCAGTGTCTGCTGGTGTTTTGGTCTAGTGAACAGTATTTTTAGCACAGACTGTCAGATGTGATTATGAGCCATCAGGCACCATATACGGCAGCAACTCTTACCTTGAAAATGCTTTTCAGAAAACAATGTTCGTCTGCTTTCTCTTAGGTAAAAGGAGCAGGAGTTTTGCTGCAGTGACCAACAGTAATTCTTGTATAACACCTTGCGTAAAGAAAACCGAATTACATCTGAGATCTTTGTACATAACATTTTACAGCCCTCATTGAGGCTTCTGAAAATGTCCTGTTTACATGTCATCATGCATGCTTGGTTTTCTGTCAGTAGTAAGTGCTTACTGCCACTGCAAACCTGGCAGAGTGTATCCAACCCTGCATCTCCACCCTGCGCTGTGAAATGTGCCCCATACACTTGTATTCATCAAACGTGGGACATGATCCAGGCTTGCTTCCTCTAAAAGGACAGATCCACAATGCCAGGCAGTGTCACTGCTACTTTAAGCAGTTACAGTTTTGTAGTTTTCTGCATTTCCTACCACTTTTGTTATGTTTACTGCCCAGTAAACAATAAAATCTAAGGAAGAAAATTTTCTTAGACTGCTGTCATGAGATCCTTGGAAACACTTGTGCCTTTTAGAAAGAGAACATTTCCAGGAAACTGCCCAGCCTTGTGCCAGCAACAACTGCGTGCATCAGTCATCTTGTTCCACTGAAGAAGTAGACTGCCAGCAGTGCTAGAGCAGCCTTTCCACACCTCTGCTTCGATCTAAGAGGAGAACTTTTGCAATCGGTTCAATTTCTGTGACCCAGTCAGCCCCTGGCACTTCTTTTACAGCAACAAGATGACCAGTTCCTGCTGCAGGAGCACACCAGCCTCACCTCCACTAGCCTATTTCCTGATGTCTGTTAAGTACCCAAGAGTCACCATAGCTTAACATCTTCTCCAGCCTGTTTGGGAAAGCAAGAATGTTCAATCCCTCTAGATATGTGCAAGCACTAGTGTGTGCCCAGCAAAATGCCAGACCCCTCCCAGAACACAGCTGCCAGCTTTCAGAGAAATCATTGGGGTTTGTGAGATGTGCAAAATGGCAAAATGGTGTTGAGCAAGAATTTATACCTGCAAACAAAAATATAAATGTTTGCTTTGCTGCTCATGAATTCACAGTAGAAAGGAGCTCATGTGGAAATTTAATTTGTGCAAAATACTGTTTAAAAAAATCAATCATAAGTGTTTTGAGTTACACAGTGGAATAGAATTGTGGCTTTGTAAAACAGTGCAAGATTTACAGACTTTCCAACACTATAAAAGACAATTTCCCTAATTTTCCCACTGTTGTCACATTAGTCGTTGTTCTAAGTCAAGTGAATGGGGCGCCTCTAAGCATCATGACAGCAAAAATGTACCAATTAAACTGAATCTCTGGAGAGATTGAGAGAAGTTCAGAAATTTGCCCAAAATGAAGAGAGTATATTTCTTCTCATCTCACATCTGCTTAAGTCTTTACAGGCTTAAAGAAGAGGAAGGGGCATGTTTGCTCCAGATAACTTCCCAGATGAACCTTCCCTCTGTGACAACATTAGCTAAAATGAGTAATTAAAAGTTCCTGACGAACACGACAGGCTTCCGAGTCCACCGACTCCATTTGCTCGTATTCTTCTTCCGATTGTTCCATGTGTCCTGCGGCTGGTGCAGACCACACGTCCAGCCCATGTTGCAGGGAGATGTTATGAAGCACGCAGCAGGCCAGAATGATGTGGCTGGACTTCTCTGGAGAATACTGCAGGGTGCCTTTGGAGCCATCGAGGCAGCGGAACCGCGACCGAATGGTTCTGAACGTGCGCTCAATGACGTTGTGAGTGGCGGAATGGGCCATGTTGTAGCGGTACTCTGCAGGCGTCTCGGGAATGTGCAGAGGGGTCATCAACCACGTCCGGAGCAAGAAGGAGCTGTCACCTGTGAGCAGTGGAAAGGAGCAGGACAGCTTACACACCTACAGTTAGCCACAGATTTCAGCCTGGTTTACTCGTACAGCAGATACAGAATAAGTTCTTCCTCTGGCTAAAAGAAGGCATGGAAGAAGTAACTCTGGTTTACAAATGTGACAAAGTAAAGGCATTCAGTTTTACACAGGAACATTTCCCACAGAAGAGTTTTAAGGGAATTAAACTACTGCATGAAACAGGGGAAAACAGTTGGACTAGGGCAGTACCTGGAATTAAAAATTACGTAATTCAGCATGGAAAGGTGTGGAATACTGAAAGAAAGCTAAGAACAGAATGAATGAGGATTAATACATACAGTAGTCAGACTGTGTAAAACACAGATTAGAATTTACTGTTCTAAGCTTCCAAGATAAGGGCTGTCCAAACTGAGTCATTAATCTCAAAGCAATTTGCAGGAAAGCAATTGAAAGTAAACATATGACTTGTGCCCAGAGTAAGGAGACAATATATAATTGACTTTCTACTGAAAACAAGGATGAAAAGTTGACTTACCCAGTAGCCAGCCATCTTTATGTAGCTCGGTTTCAAACTGGCTTGTGAGGGCTGCCTGCTCTAACACCGCGCAGTCAGACAGGCTGCCTGGCCAGTGCGTTTCAGCACTAAGGAGGACTCCTCTGGAATCACACACCATGAGGCAGTTCAGGGAATGCAGACCCTTTCGGTTCACATAGGACAGGTCCTCAGCATTTGGCGCTTTGATTGCCACGTGGGTGCAGTCAACCACCCCCAGCACTCCCGGCATTCCTGCCAGCCCATAAAAGTCATCCTTCAGGGTCTGTACAGTAGCTTCATCTTTAGGAAAGTGAATGAATTGTGAGGCTCTTTCCACCAGTGCCTCGGTTACATTGGCAACACAGCGGCTCATTGAGGCTTGGCTAATGCCAATAGCATCCCCCATGCGAGTCTGGAAGGAGCCAGAGGTATAGAAACCCAGCGCAGCAAGGATTTGCGTCTCTGGACTGATGGCCCTGGACCGCTGTGTAGGGCGTGAGAGAGTGGCTCCCAGGAGATCCACCAGGTAGCAAATGAACTGTCGGGGGAAACCGTACGTGGACACTAGATACTCATCCGTGACATCCTCCAGCTTGAAGCGATCCAAAGTCCTGTGTCCGCGGCCGTAGAGCAAGAGGTCGCAGTCAAGAACCGCGATAGGTACGGCCATGACTGACGGCCTGGGGCTCCTCTCTGACAGGGCTTTCTCAGAGGCTTCACCTGCATAAAGCAAAAGAGGATACTCAGAAGAGTTGTTACTGGTGAGCTTTTCAGACTCCGTTACCATTTTCCTTTCAGTCTGATCATCCAACAAAGCTTTTAACTTTTCTGCTTTTAAATACACGGGCAGCCAGGTGGGCTCACCGCGGAGCCGACAACTCTGCCTGGCGCTGACAGCAATTTACCTCCCGTGGCGGAGAGGGAGCTGGAGCCGTCCCCAGTCACCCTCGCCGGGGCACGGCAGACACGAGTGGCGGGCAGCCCGGCGGGCGGGCTCGCAGCCCCGACGGGCGCTGCCCTTGCCGGGCGCCCCGGACCCCACGGGCCGCCCGACCTCCGCCGGAGTCGTCCCGCCCCTTACCGGCCCCGCGGCCGCTCCCAGGCGGTCCCCGCCGGCCCGGCCCCACATTCGCGGCGATAGATTCGCCACAGGCAAGGGGCTACCGGCGGGAGCGGCGCCGGGCGCTGCCCCGCTTTTCCAGGCCAGGCGACCTCCTGCCGCACCGGACTGCGGGCTCAGCGTGCCGCGGACGGGCGGGGAGCGGCGACTGCGTGTGGAAAGTGCCGCTGCGGACGCTCAGGCACCTCCCTTCTTCCCTCCCTTCCTCCTTCCTTCCTTCCCCCCCCCCGCCCGCAGCGGATGAAAACAAACAGCGGCGATGGCGACGGCGATGGCGGTGGCGCGGCACAGCCCGCGGCTCTGAGGGCAGCGGCAGCCCCGGCCCGGCCCCCGCCGCCAGCCGCGCACCCCCGCCGGCGCTGACACTCGCGGCGAGACCCCCGGGCCGGGAACGAGGAGGAGGAGGGACGCCGGCCGGAGCCCCGGAGCGACTTCGGGGCTTGAAGGCGGCGGTCGCGGCCCCGGGGCCGCGGGGCTCTCCCCGTGCCCGGTCGGGGCGCGGAGGAGGCGCCGGGGCGCGGCGGCGGAGCGGGCCCCGCGCGGGATGAGCCGCCGCGCCGCCAGCATTGCCGGCCCCGCGCAGGTACCGCGGGCCCCCGCAGGGCAGGGCTGGGAGCTCCGCGGGCCTGCGGGAGGCCCTTCCAGGGGATGGGGGGCTGTGACGTGGGTCTTAAACCTTTGGCTACGGCTTCGCATCTCCGTTTTATTTTGCTTCGCTGCTCGCGGGAGTCGGTTCCCGACAGCCGCGTGTCCGCAGCGATTCGTTTTCCTAACGACTGGTGGCTGTCAGTGGAGCCTGGAAAAGATGTGGCTTGCTGTAATCTCAGCAGGTGGTCATTTAAAATCAAAATGCTTCGCAGCCTGTTGGAAATAGTAGAATCTGAGACCCTACGCTCGATTATATAGTCTTGTATGGTCTTCCTGTGAGATGTGAGTTTGTGGTATGCTGGGAAAGAGCAGAGGTTTACAGGTGGTCCTATCTTTCTTTCCTGTGGGAGGTGTGGCTCTTGGGGGCACAGTCAGAGTCGTTCCCGTGGATTCACTGGGAGCAGAGACGCCTTCCGTGTCAATGAACAGGTAGAAAAGGGACTCTTTGGACTAAGCCTACAAACTGCCTACTTACAAATCCCAAAAGCGACGTGACTAGGCACATACCAAGGGAGAAAAACACAGCAAATTACTGCCTTAGCTGAAAATTAGTTGGCTGTCCAAATAAAGTTTAGAGCATCTCCAAATTATTGTAGGAGTGGCCTGACCTGGAGGACCCTTCCTTCTTGGGCAAGAAATAAGTCTTTCAGATGAGCCAGGCTGTCTGTAGATGTCCAGAAGGATCGTACAGGATCACTTTATTTTGCTTTAGTGGTATTGTATAATCTTAACATTTCTGAATGTGTGTTCATACTGTAGCTGAGAGGTGGTGATTGTGTTGGTGATTATAGTGCAGGGTATGTAGAAGCAGATTCTGGTTCAGTCTGTATACTTTGGCTTGACAAACAAACTGAGAGGATGGACCTTTGGACTGATACCATTTTTAGACCTTAGGGAAGTACAGAATGTAACTGCTGGTCAACAGGAATTACTTAATTTTGTTTCTAAGTCAGTGGAGCTGGCAGTGCTGGCTTTAGTACGGTATTTACTAAACTGTGGAGTCATTTATTGGTTATAAAGTGAATCTGTTTCCTGATCAGAAGGAAAAATTACCTCTTGATCAGTCAAAACCTGAACATATAGTGAACTACAGAGCCTTTGATTACATCAGAATGTTTATATTATGTGAAACAGTTTTTCTGCTAGAATTTAATCTTCTCTTAAAAAAATCCATAAACTTTAAAGAATGAGAGTGTCACACTTTAAAACTTAGAACTGTTTGCTACTTCTCCCTAGGTTTCTGACTAATCTACTAAGAAGGCAAAATGGAGATTAATTTTTAGTAATTGTAGGATACTAGACTTTGACTTGTAGGCCCAGTCTTGGAAAAGAGCACTGTGTTTATGAAGATCTTTTTATAGTTGCTTATTAGTGTGCTCAAAATACCTGCTTGCAGTGAAGCTTCTTGTTCATTGAAGGGAGGATGTGTTCTAGCCACTCTTAAAAGCTTCAGAAACTTCCATGTGCTTCTTGTGTACTGCATGATTCAACAAGGCTTTTCTAAACTTCTCATAGGACATTCTTGGAGATTGGATTTGATCCTCTATTAAAAAAGAAATTCTGGAAGAGTGGTACGGGCAAGGAGTGCAGTCTGGGGCGCACAGTCCCGTAGCTGGCAACAAACGTCTGGGATGAGAGCTGTCCACAGCCCTCTCCTTACAGCTACACCCACTCTGGTTTCTTCCCTCTTGTCTTTTCAATTTCACTCTGGCTTAAGAACCATGAGTAATTCTTTTGCATTGATGAATGTCTGGTTGAAAAGAAAGCAAGATAACTTTAAGTTATAGCCACCATGGCTCAGAGAGAAATACAGGAGATGATGGAAGCAGCCTCTATATGCTTTCCCCAGCCGCAGTAATGCCTGGTGTGCGTCAGATGCTTCTGCTTCTTTCCTGTCTCTGTAGGTGTCAGAGAGATGCACTGGCTCAATTCCCCTGCGTGGAACACGTAGTGTATTGCCGGTGATCCCAGGTGTTCCGTGCACCTGCTGTGTGCCGGGTTACAGGTGTCTGCCGGCAGCGGGTGCCCTCGGCTGGGAGCACGGAGCACGGCTGGGAGCACGGTGCCTGTCGCTGTAGTTCCTCTCGGCTCTGCCGAGGCATTAAGGGGAGGGCTCTTGCAGTTCCTTGCATCATGAGAACAGCGCCATCACCTTATGCTGATGTGTCCTTCTCCTCAGAGAAGGAGGGTATAAATAGCAGCAGAGCATGTAAAGCACAATGCTTAGATGGTAAACTGTTGGATAAAATCTGTCTCAGCCTTGGGAGAAGGAATAAAGATTTAGTCAAAAGAGCCACATGTGGCAATTCTCCTTTGCTGTTTCTGATGTTTCTGTTCACAGTCAAGTGATGACAAAGGCCTATAAATAAAAGCAATAGTATAAAAATGGGTGTTGCAGGAAGCGGGAGACAAAGCAAAAAGCCATATGGACAAGATGCTTGTTGCATCATGTGCTGGCGAATATATCAGTTTACTTAAGGGATTACCTGATTGAGGGGAAATCAGTCATCTGTATTCTAACCTAGACCAAAGGTTATTTCCTTCTAGTTGTTATTCAGTGTGAAATGAGCCAGTGTTATCCTTGAGTTACGCATAGGCCTGTGCAGTAGCACTTAACAAGGAGCTGTGCTGGCATTGCAACCTACTGGACATGAGAAATTGATTGAGTTTGGTGGAACTAAGTTTAAAGAATTTCCTTCCTGTTCAGGTCAACTGTGGCAGCTAACCTGAGAGTACCAAAGAATTTTTATAAATAAAAAGTTTGCTGTAATTCTAGCTCCATCTTAACTCTTACCAAGACTGATTCTAAAGGTGAATACTGTTCTAAGTCTTAGAAGGTCTCAGGCAATCACCAGAGACTCTCCTACAAAAATAGGAGATGAGAGCCCTTAGACATTTCAGGAGCTGAGTTCTAAAGTCCCAGTTTTCCCATGAAATTATTTATTCCTTTCCAGGAAACCTTGCCTGATACTTTCTGCTCCACTTTGGACTCTGGTGGGTTAACTGTTGCTGGCATTTGGAGCTTGAGAGGTAACAGTATGAATCTCCAAATGGTTGATGAATGTTACAGGTAGTTTCAGATCTTCCAGGAAGAATCCCAGTTCTGCTGCAGCAGGACAGAACCATGAGGCTCTCATTTTTTGAACCCTCTGGTGGTTAAACCCTCTAGAGATATTTGGGTCATTAAAACAAATTCCTGTACTGCACTTGCAGCCATGCTGATGATCATCTTTGTTCCCTTTCCTAACACACCAGTGAGCCTAACACCTTCCATTAGTCTCCAAGTACCTTGAAATAGTTGATACCAGAAGTTTTTTACAGCCTCAAAAGGCAAATGTGGGTGCTTTATTTGACAGCTCTCCCACAATATCAGGATATATACTTCCTTGCATCTTTCTGCAGGGGTTACATACAAGTTTTCACATTAAAAGCCAGTATGACTTTTTTTTTTTTCCCTAGTATTTAAATGTCAGCATTCTCTTTGCTGAAAAAAACCCATATTTTTTATGCAGTATTTCATTGCCTGTATCAGCCAGGTTTGTCAAAGATTTCAGATCTCCTCAGCCCTTACAGTGCTGTACTTATTTAAGTCAAAATAATAATAACAGGTTGTTCTTGCCTGGGGTTTTGTTTCTTTTTTGTTTGTTTGAGGGGATTTGTGTTGTTTTATTTTTTTTGTAGTGGTACATGTCTGTACTAAAGAGTTGGGTTTTTTAAAATTTGAGTACCGCATCAAACGCTTTAAATGCTGACTTCCTTTTGCAGCCTCCACAGTGGAAAGGGTCTGTAATCTGTCTAGTGGAGGTAAATGCAGGGAAAGAAGGCATAACAGTTTTAATGACGAGGTTAAAATATCCAAAGGATAATTTGAAAATGCATCTGATATTGAATCACTTGTGTTGTTAGTTCTCAATTTAAATTATAATTTGTAATGAGAACAGTACAGCTTAAGGAGATGTGGTATGAATGTAGCCTAGGAACTTTCAATTACATGGTATGTCCAGCTTTCTTTTTATAGAGTCATTCAGAAAGCAGCACTGTTCTCTATAACGTGCTCTGTAAATTGCAGTACTCTTATCTTGCAGCCCTTTTTGATTGATGCTCCTAAAGCATTGGGCTTTACTGTCACTAAGTGCAATATTTTAAATAGGAGTACTGCATGTGCATGGTCGTGAAAGATTCTGTCTTTTCTGTGTGAACAGGGCTATTGGCCCTTTTGCCCTGCAAGCTTTAATTTGCATAAATAGCATACCTTGCTGTAAGTTCAGTCTTTGCTTAATGATTGAACACCGAATAACGTTGTGCACAGCAGCTGCTTGTGCTCCCTGACCTCAGCTCGCCGGCATTCCTGCGCGGAGCAGCACGTTCCGTAAATACGGGATGTCTGACAAGCTGCTTCAGGCTGATTAGCTGTCTCAAAACTGCAACGGGGGTAAGAGTGAATTAATGCTTTGAAGGCTTACAAGCAAATACTACAACGAATGCTGCTAATTAAGGCCTTCCTCCCCCAATGGTCTCTATATGATTATTAACTTATGTATGAAGAGACTGAGGGACAGAAGAATTGTGATTTATCCCAGGCCCTGTGACATGATGGTGACAAAAATAGGATTAGTGCCTTGCCTTGCCCTGCTTCAGATGCTGTGCAAGTTCATTGTGTTCCTAGAAACAATTGTATTTTGAAAAACAAGGCAGTGTCAATGTGAAAGCTAAGTATTTATTATCAGAGCTTCCAAGAGAAGTGAACAGAGGATTTTGGTCTATTTCTTGACAAAAATTTGTCTTTTCAGTTGGTTGTAGCTGTATAGTTTTACTTCAAGTACTATTTATTGAAAGTAAAGAAGCAGTGTAGCCTGTTTCAGCAATGGTTTATTATATAGATTTCTGCTGAAATACCACTGAAATACTGTTCTAAGAATTTCAGGCTCAAGAAAACAATTTGGCTTGGTTTTGACCAGTGCTGATAGGTGAAGATGCATTATTTTTGAAGCAGAGACCTCCATATCTGATGGTTAGCTTGGCACAGAATGCAGTCATTGTGGTGTTGGGGTGTTCTGGTTTTTTTTGTTTATTTGTTTTGCTTTTTTAAATTAAGCTAGCAAAATTGTAGGACTTGTACTGTGTTTTAACTCAGAGCCTTCTTTGGTGTTTTACATTTTTTTGATCTTTGCACTGACCAGATAAACTATCAATGTGCATTTATACTGCACACTCACATCCCAAAGTTTTTAGTATGTTCAGATTTTGACAGGTAGAGTGCTTTGGTATTTATAATTTCTTTGAGATGGCCTCTAATGGCAAAAATATTTTGAAATCTAAACAGAAAGCTGGAAGAAGACTTCATTCCCAGACCTGTGCTATATTTCAGATTGCCATATGCAATGGACACTGATCTCAGTTCCCAGGACAGGAAGGACCTGGACAAGTTCATCAAATTTTTTGCTTTAAAGGTAATTTTTCTTCTTTGGACAAATGCCTCTTTTTCCTTGTTTAAAAAATGCCACAAAACAAATGACGTACTTGGTGTGGCTAGAGTAACAAGACTGAGGTTTGGGTTGGTTGTTTTTTTGTTTTGTTTTGTTTTGCTGAAGAACAAAGCAATAAGAGCTGATGTCAAATTTAAGAGATTCCTGAGAACAACTAGAAAAACATATTTTCCCTTTTTCCTACCCTCAAATCCTCTTCCATCCTCCTGAAACACTCTGCTTTAGAATTAGTCGTAGGCACTTCACACCTCTGTCAGCTTTGGGTTTCTAGCAGCATGTCTGACTACCAGCTGTTAGGTAGTTTATCTGCTGGACTCCACTCTTTCAGCCTATCTAAAGTTTTATATTGCATCCAAAAACAATAATACCAGAATGTTTTTTTGAATGATGTTGATATGTAATTATAAAATTTAGCCTCACTTCATATGTAGGTGCAAGTAGATAGTCTGACAGTGGCTTTGGCCTAAATGTACAGATTCATTTGGCTTTAGTTTAGTTGTCCAGGCCTGGGATATTTTTGTAATTTTTTCTGAATTTTCTATTGAAAACTGGAAATCCTGATTGGAAAATTGACTTTGTCTCTTAATTTTGTTACAGAGAAAGGTCAGTCTAAAATGATTTTCTTTCTGAAATAATTTGCCTGTTACATGTAATAATTTAAATTGTTTAGAACTGAAAAACAGTGTAGCAAACTCTACTTCTCTACATCCTGGTCAGCCCTTTCATCTTTTTCACTCAGAGCTTGTGTAGCTCAGGCTCTGAACTGAGGTTCAGAACTGGTGCTGAGCCCAGAACATTACTAAGTATCCTTTTCTTTCTATTCCAGACAGTACAAGTAATTGTCCAGGCCCGACTTGGAGAGAAAATCTGTACCCGCTCCTCATCCTCCCCAACAGGTTCTGACTGGGTAAGGTTGTATTTTTTAAAGCAACTCCATAACTCTGTGTGTGTGTGTGTGCTGAGAACACCACGTGATTATGACAGTCTTGTGCAGACCATAATAATTATTCATAGAGTAGGTACTATATTTAGTTATTTTCTTTGGTGATGTTGTGGGAGGTTGGTGGTTGTTGTTCACATGCAACAAATCACTCTGGACTCTTACAGGCTGATGAGGGGAAAGATTTCCGCAGCTCCTGCCAGCTACGGCACATTTCCAAGATCTGCTTGGGAGTGGGGTGATGAGTTCTTATTTGTCAGAAGTTTGCTACTCTGCAATTCAGGACATTTTAGTAATGGGCTTAATTAAAATTAAAAGACTCAAGATACTCTGTGGGTGAAGATAGGACCGAGGGAAAAGGAGCATATTTTTTATAGCAGCATTAAGAAAAACATTTGAATTAGCAGCCAAGGGAATCTTTGTAAATGTGAAAAGCTTGGACCCAGCTGGGAATTTTCTGTTTCATAAGTATTTCAGTGGACACTGACCTAGTATGTTATATATGGGTCTGTGAGCCTGTCTGAAATGTACCATCAGGCAGTTTTTCAAAGAAATAAAAAAATGGAACCATCTCTTTGATTCTGCAGTTCAATTTGGCAATCAAAGATATACCAGAGGTTACTCATGAAGCAAAGAAAGCCCTGGCAGGACAGCTGCCCGCTGTTGGACGGTCTATGTGTGTGGAGATTTCTCTCAAAACCTCAGAGGTGAGAACTGAGTCAAAACAGATGCCCTTTTTTTGTTTGTGGGCTTTTTTGCCTGAATCTTAAGTCAACTACCAGAGCTCCTGCCCTTTAATGCAAGATGATGTGAGACTATCTAATTTTTATTAAGTTAGGTGATATGCTAATGAAAAGAAATGTGTTGTTTAACAGAAGCATTTCACTGTAAAAATCTGAGGCCAAACACACAAATGACTCAGCAGAAAAATCTAAATTTTTTAAGAAAGTAATTTTAAGAAAATTAAATTCTTAAATTCTTAAATTTAAAAAAAATAATTTCTTAGCCCATGAAGAACTTAGGCATTCTGAAGAAGGTATTCCCTCAGGTGACATAATTGTGCAAGGACACTTCCAGTGCACCTTTTTCTATCACTGCATCACAAGAAAATGGGAGCCAGGAGACAAATCATTGAGAGGTGTGGCCATTGCTGATCACTAATGAGATTTGAAAAGGTCTGTGTTCTGAAATGAGCCTTTGTTTGCCATCTTTTCTCTGATCCAGGGAGACTCCATGGAGCTGGAAATTTGGTGTCTCGAAATGAATGAAAAGTAAGTGCATTCTTTGTTTGTAGCTCTTAGCTGATGCAGTGATCCATGCTGATCAATGGTGATCAATGGTGATGGCTGCATGGCATTTTTCAGCAATTTCTTCTACAGCAGGTGACTAGGTTGAAGCAAGACTTAAGCTGGTTGGTCAGTACAGGTAGCCACACTAGGGCTTTATTTATCATTTTGGCAATAAAATTAAACAACTGCCCCAGAGTAAATTTTATTTTAAATAAAATAATCAAAAGCAACTGCAAACCAAAACAAACAAGAACCCCAAACCCAGGCAACTTAGTTGTGGACAAAAGACTAATTTTTTTCCTTTGTGTTCTCTAGGTGTGACAAAGAAATCAAAGTTTCATACACTGTATACAACAGGCTGTCTCTACTGCTGAAGTCTTTGCTTGCTATAACCAGAGTAACTCCAGCCTACAGGCTCTCTAGGAAACAAGGCCATGAATATGTAATATTGTACAGGTAAAGCAAAAATTTCCCATTTGAAAAGCAAACAGGAGAGACTCTAGACTTGCACAGTGTAGCTGCAAATGTAGTTAAAAAGGGATGAGTAATAATAAAATCAAATTATTTGTATAGAAATACTACTCATCAGCGACAGAAGAAAACCTTGCTCTATGTATGTATCACCTTACAGCCTTCACTTGAGCCATTGAAAGAAAAGCTAAGCACAGGCTGTGAAGTGTTAGCCTACCATGTTAGGAAGAGTAAAGAAAAAATTCTACATGCAATCCCTGATAGATTGCTTACTAGCATCCAGTTGTTTGGTGTCTGGCTTGATAAATGCCTCTCTGCATTGCACATAACTGCAATGTATACTTTTGCAGCATAGATTCAGACTCTCTCCTGTTATCCCACTTTAAAGATGCATCCTCAACTCCAATTCCTGTAGCTTTTGCATTTTACTCATCCAAATACTGGGTTCCACTCTGTTTAGCCTGTGAGTCTGACTGGCTTGTGGTTCATAGTTGTCTTCCAGACCCTGTTTTTGGCTTTGAGAAAAGTCTTTGACATGTTTGCACAGCTAATTTATATGATTGTAAATTTCAGGTTTGTTATCATTTGCACAGCTGAGAACTCAAAAAGAAATTCCAGCCATTTTCTCATTTTTGCCTCCATTGCTGACTTGGCATGTACTTAAGAGCAAATCTCTTTACAGCACAGTTAATCTTTTATGTTGTGTGATGAGCATCAGCTTCTAGACTCAGACCTATCTGTGGAGTTTGTATCACTTCACATTTTTGCTCTGAACTATAGACTTAACCACAGAGGCTTAAAAAAATTAAAGAGAAATTTCTGATTGGACTACTATTTTCTCTTTCTCCTTATTTTTACATGATCTGTTCTTCTTCTGGAGCAGCTGTAAGGTTTTTTGAGATGGGCATTCCAGCCATTTATTTTGGGCTTTTTTTTTTCCTGAAGAAGAAAAGTAGTTCCAGGCTTCCAACTGCCAGAATTAAATAAGAATATGTATAGCATTATGCCCGTACTGGATCTAACAGCTTTTCTTTTTCCTTCAGGATTTATTTTGGTGAAGTCCAGCTGAGTGGCTTGGGAGAAGGTATGATTAGACAACACACAAACAAGAGCAGAACTGTGTTTCATTCTGACTGCCTTTTGGTTACTATTCCCAAATACCGTAAGGAAAATGAGTCTGAGGCTTACATATGCTTTTTGTCTGGCTCTGCCAGAGCAGCCTTGTGTCACAAGGTGACAAGTATAATGGTGGTACTTGGACAAAGTCTCAGGTGACTGCCATTTTGACTCTACTGATACGGAACTGAAATAAGAATATGGAATTATGTTGATAAGAGGCAGGACTGGTAAAGGAGGTCATGATCTACTGAGGAACAGGAAGCACTTTAGAACAGTATTTTAGACCAAGAAGCCGGGAAGCAACATCAGAAGTCAAGCAGGTGAAGCCTACCAGCAAGGTAGCCTAGTGCTGCTGTTTTGTTATAGGTTCTATGTGTGTTTTTGAGGTTCAGATTGCAAGACAGAATGGTTAGACTACTGAAATAAGATAATGTAAGCTCAGAATAAAAAAGTATGGCACATAAATAATCAGCGAAACTGATAATTATTCCTTAACTTTACAGGTTTCCAGACAGTCCGTGTTGGGACAGTGGGTACCCCAGTGGGCACCATCACTTTGTCTTGTGCCTACAGAATCAACCTTGCTTTCATGTCAACCAGGTGAGAAAATGTGATCATGCCAGAAACTGTTTTACAATAATTTACTGTTAAACCCCTCATATTCTGAGCCCGCAAATCTTTCCCTTCTGCTTATCCTTTCCTGCTGAGATTCTCTTTCATGAAGAATTCTCTCTCTCACTTAAGCCTTGCAGCAAGGGGAGTATTTGGGTAGCCCTGAGCCAGGCTCTAGAACTCCAAATTGTTGATGCATGCCTGGAGGACTAAATTGTAAAGATGCTCTGGTCCCATTAATAGGTACAAGGGTTTTCTGTGAGGGCACCACAAATTGGGAAGAGTAGAGAGAAAAAGCCAGTAACACCATTGCTTGTTGCCTTGCAGGCAGTTTGAGAGGACCCCTCCTATCATGGGGATTATAATTGATCACTTTGTGGACCGTCCCTATCCCAGCTCTTCACCCATGCATCCCTGCAATTACAGGTGAGGAAATACTGAGTTGAAGTCATGGGCCATGGTAAAGGCATCCATTATGCCCAAATACAGAGCCTTTTCCACTATTTGTTGACAGCATGGGAAGGGACACTGGAGAATTAGTGTCAGTCATATTGGCATAGTTAAAGATGTGATGAAATGTGACATTTTTCTCCTCACATTGAGATGGCTGAGTGCAGCAAGCCCCAGTATTTTCCCAAATTCTTCACAGAAGCACTTGGACACAAAGGATGTTTAGTCTTGGCTGCCTTCAGGAATTTGAAAGTGTAATGGTTAATCCTGATGCAGAACTACATGTCTAGATGCATGCATCCCTGGATATTTCCACTGGGGGAAGAGCAGTTTAATTTCTCTTTGGAAATGAGAGGTTTGCCTTCTCTAAAATGATTGTGAGGGCATTCAGATTTGGACCAGTGGTGTTGATTGACAATGGTTGTGTAAACACCAAAGCCAGCAGCACTAGCTGGTATAACAAAAGCTTTAGTTAGAAACACCTGTTGTTTTGCATGGGGTAGAAGACAAACATCTGAGGAAAACTGACGTTTTCCCACTTTGTTTTCCTCAGATCTGGCAAGCAGATGAGAGCCCTTCATAATTTTCCTTTCAACTACACCCAAATACTCTCAACCTCCCTGCAGTGTTTGTCCCAGTGTGTTTTACTATTTGTTTGTTTTAAGGAATATTTCCGGTTAGAAAATTTGTCTTTTCTTGCTGCTTTAGAGCTGGTGAGGACAATGGTGCAGTATACCCCTCAGTAGAAGATTCCCAAGAAGTGTGTACCACATCTTTTTCCACCTCTCCTCCATCTCAGGTAAGAGAAACCAGGCTCTTTTTACTTTTAGATAGAACAATTGCTGTAAGAATAGTTTGCATATTTCTACATCAGCTATTGTGCAAACAGAAATCCTCCTGCTACTAATTAAAATTTAATGTATGGCATTACACTCTTGAGTAAAATCTATCAAAATTAGATACTAATTTCAACAAAATTCCAGGGGCCTAGAAAGATTGAATTACTGAGAAGGATTAAAAGAGCCTATTCCTCTAGCTAGGTTGAGGTGTGCTTGAAGAGGACAGCAGTGTACTTACACATTTACACATTTGCATACCAATACTACAAGAGGAGGAATTCAAGACATTGATGCCAGACAGCCTAAGTAGGAGTAACAGACTGACATTGAGAAAGAAGCACTGAAATTCCAGGAAAATGCTAGATAAAGAGAGAAAAAAGACAAAAGCTGTATTTATTGGATCATCTAAAATTAGTTGGGGCAGCCAGAATAAGTATTGGCAAAAAAATGACCCATGCAAGTTTCATTTAAGTTTCATTTAAGTTTCCATTTTAAAATAAATAGATAATGGTTTCCTTTTGAGTATAAAACCCCAGAAACTCCCAAGTTCTTTTACTGTCTTACGTATCTGACTCCACAGTTCTGTATTTTGAAGATGGAGTTGCAGTTGTCCTGTTGCTTTAAATATTCAGGATTGCCCTGCCTTGTTGTCCAGCCAAGCAGATGGCTCTACTGACCTTTAAAGACAATCTAAAGACGCTAAATCTCTTTCTCTGTCAGTATGAAACATAGAATGAAGTATAACAGGAATGCTGTTCCAAACTGAAAGAATTTGCTATGGGTCTTTCTGCTGCTTCAGAGGAAATAAGATGCCTGGTTTATGTATTCTGCTATATGAACGAGCTAGAAATGAGCTTCTCTTAGGAAGCATTTTTGTGCCAAAGTGCTTTCAGGTGACCAGGCATCAGGGAATGTTGAACTAATTAATCAGCACTCACGGTAAGTCTGATGGAATAAAGCTTTTCTTATTCTGCAATACACAGTTCAGGAAATGAGTTTGTGGCTGAGTTGTGCCCTGTATTTTCCTAAAGTAAATACAAAAGATTTCTTAAGGAAATTTCCACTGGCGTGCTTGTGCCAGTGTTACTTAACAGTAGTAGTGTATGTAACTACATTGAAGTTGATGCTACCCCAAGGGTCATGAAGCTTTTCTGTCACTGAGGGGGGAAAAGCATTATGAAACCACTTGAACCTTGAGGATTCACATTAAGTATGAGCCTTTCTTGCTTTTTCTGTGGCTCATAGTTGCCATATGCTTTGCCCTTATTTGTAAAGCAGCTGCCAGTCTTTGTTACCACAGTTAGAATTGTAATGCTGCCTTGGCAGAGTGGACTTTAAATTAAAAGGGAAAGAAGAAGTTATTGTTTTTCTCCAGCTTTCTACATGTCCTGTCCAGGTTAATGACTAGGAAAATACTAGGAACTGTGTGACTTCGTAGGCAAATTGTATGAATCTCTACCTGCCTTCTCAGTAAAAGTGAGGCCTAACTTGTGTGATACAAGGAAATAGTTGTCACCTTCTTTGTGAGCTTCCATGTCTGTGTATGTGTGTTGTGAAGCAGCCCAAAATTCAGGAGAGTCTGGCCATGGGTAATACCCAGAAATGAAGCTGAAGCTTTCCTCAAAGTGAAAACCATTGAAAACAAGTGAAAACAGGAAAATGACTGTGAAAGGAGGTATGGGAGTGAACCAGGTTTGGATTGCCCTTTTTGAATTAGCACCCTCTTTGAGACTGTATTTCTGGCATTTTGCTTCTGTTGATGGAGTTCCCGCTTCACATCAGTGTGTTTGAATTGCACTGTAGTCTGGGTCCCCTCTATTCTAAGGGTGCAGCACAGTTAAGATAGGATCCCTCAGAAAGCTGGAGGATAGGGAGTATGGACGGATGGAGAGTGCTCAAATACAAGTAATTTGTAAATTTAAAAAAAAATAAGTACTTGACCTTTTCTGGCATCTGCTCAGCTTTCTTGCTAATTTGCTGGTATCAATTATAATTAACTGTGGAACAGAGTCTCTGGCAGTTACTTTCTGTCAGGGTACTGGAGTCTAAAATATTACCTGTGTTCAGTGGTTCACTCAGATTGAAAAACAGTCAATTATTTACAAAATGAATGTGCTTCTGGCAATACTGAGATTTCTGCTCTCTGTGTAGGTGTGGCTGCTCCAGCCAAAACCTCTTCACTAGCATTCAGTTCATCCAACTCTTCATAATTCCTCTCTGAAGTCCTTCTCTCTCTCTTTCTCTCTCCCCCTCATTCTCTCTTTTCCTTGTTTCCTCTGTTTGTCTGTGTCTATGCACAGTGTGTTTTTACTGTCACAAAGGCACATTTTCAGACACCTCCTCCTGTGGTGACGGACACCTTGAAGGTCCCAGTGATGGGGCTGGCCTTTTCACATCAAGTGAGTTGTCAATAGAATATGCTATACATAGTCAGAATACAAGTTCTGGTATGACAGAACAAATACAGGAAAATACAAATTTGACAATGTGGAGTGTTTGCTGTGCATGGGAAAGACTGGTGAACCCACAATGAGCCAGACACTTTACTGAGACTGGCTTCTTAAATGCCTTTGCAGATGAAGATCTCCCAAAGACAGGACAAGCACCCCTAAAAACACAACAGATGTCAAGGATTGTTAGTGAAAGACATTAGTAAGGCACAATTCTGAATGTTTTCTGTTAACAGTCAATGTCCCTAGAACCTGTATAGACATTAGAGCTCCACTCAGCTTAACTAGCCTCATGTGAATAAACGTGCTGTTCCTCATTTTGATCCCTGTAAAGGGCATCAGCTTTGGTGCTGCTGGAGCTCACACTGAGCTCTGGAAGAAATACTCTTGAGGTCAGGCAAGTCAAAACAGGAAAGTTTTATCTAACATGACTGGGTAGATTTCTGCCTGGGATGTATAAGGAATTTCTCCTGGGTTTCACTGCTTCCAACACTTAATTCCTAAAGCAATCTCACAAGGGTTAGCTTCCCAGTTCTCTTTACCTGGCACATTTATGGGACCATGTATTCTTTCACTGAAGCTATTTGAACAGGTCTGGAAGATGAGCTGTTTTAATTTGCAATGGAAATAGGTTCAAACAGTTGATAATGAAGTTGTTTTGGGATAAAAAAATATTAAATGTTAACTCTTTAGTAAGTTCACAATGGCATTCATGTAACCCACTACACCAGTATTTGAAGCAGGCCTGTTTGGCAGAGCTTCCCTGAGACTGGATGTCAGCCGTACCTTGCACAGCCTCCTCCTACATGTGTAGGAAGCCAATCTTGTTTTCCTGTCAAGGCTCAGACTTAGTCCCCTGGACTACTGTCAAGTAGTCCTCATAGGAATAAGAATTTTTTAGAACAATAACCTACATTATTGATTCCAGTGAAAATCTAGCATCCTTCTGCCAGCCTGAAATGCTGTGCCTTTGACTTTTCCTATTCCTTCTTCAGTGACTGGTGATTATTCAGGCGGTGGGGCATTCCCCTTCCCTTTCCTCTCTCCTCTCCCTTTGCCCTTGTTTTTTCTCTTCTTTCTTAGCTTTCCAGCTCTCGTCTTTCCTATCAGCCTGCTGCCCTGGGAGTTGGATCAGCTGACATGGGGTATCCTGTACTCTTTGCTGGTGGCTTGAATGCTGCACACCCTCACCAGGTACTTGTAGAGAGTAGAACCAGCATGGCTGGTATTGCAGCCATTTGTGTCACTTGTACACCTGAGAGAGGCATTGAAACTAGTGCATGCACTGGTGTCCTGTCTGTCAGGAATGGAAAGAATGTAAAGTAAACACAGAGAAAGCACAACTTCCACAGGAGTTGGGAACTGGCTCCTCAGCATCCCTGACTTTCCTGGGGTACGGGGTCATGTGGAAAAACTACACCAAGAGAGCAGGCACCAGGCCTGTTTGCCTGCACCAGCTTGTCACTGATTCCAAACGTTGCCTGTCTTACAGAGCTGCTGCCCCTGTAGCTGTCCACGCACAGTTCTGTAGGCTAGTCACAGGATACCCTGGCAGTTCATATTGACATAGTTATATTGGTTCATCAGAAAAATAAGCCAAGTTGACAGAAGTCTTTTTCTTGTGATATTGGTGTTGCACCAGTTTTGCTGACACAATGTTAATAAAATAAAATAATTTCAGTTGGAATGGTCTTACAGTGAGCATCGAATCCAACATCCAGTTCAGGGCTGGCCAAGTTTAAAGCCTGGTATTAAGGCAATTGTCCAAATGCCTCTTAAAAACTGACAGCTTGAAGCATTGACCACCTCTCTAGGAAGAGAACACTGTTCCAGTTTTTGACCACCCTCTCTCCAAAGAAATGCTTTCTAATGTCCAGTCTAAGCCTCCCCTGGTGCAGCTTCAGACAACTCCCATGCATTCTATCACTGGATCCCAGGGAGAAGAGATCAGCACCTCCCTCTCCACTTCCCCTTCTCTTGAAGCTGTAGGGAGCCATGGGGTTGTAGCAAGAGGACATAAGGTTTTTTCTCCCCATTCCTCCCCATGAAGCAGAGGACTTAGAGCCAGAGACTGTAAGACTACAGGCCTGCAGGGTAAAACAGGCCTGAAGTGGAGAGTAGAGTAGAAAGGGAGTAAAAAGTGAGTTTGTATTGTGGTAATACACTCCTACATGACATCACTCTGAGGCTTATAGGGGCTAGAGCCCAGACATATGCCAAAACCCCCACAACTTATGCCCAGTGTGATGGAATCTACTTTGTATTGCACTGTGGTTTTGGTTTGAGATTTCTTAACTCGACCGTTCCTTTCTCTCTCAGTTGATTGGTCCAGGCAAAGAAGGGGGAGTTCCCCCAGTTCCTAGCCAGCCAGCACATGGCACTCAAGCTGACCAAGAGAGGATGTGCACCCCACTGGATGGAGTCCATTACTCAGCAGCTACTCCTTCTAGCAGGTAGGTTGGTTTTAGATGATCCATCACTTCTGTTAACCCACTTATAAACCTACTGAGATAAAACTTTTTGTTTCCCCTTTTAATCTATTGTTTGTAGCATAACTATTGTCATCCCTCAAATAAACTTGCAGGTTTCTCTGACTGGGGCTTTCTCCAAACAATGATCTTGCCCATCTATTTAAACCTCCCAGTCTATGTAATATCCTTCTTCTGTGTAATATATCTTCTTCTATGTCAACTTTATTATCAATTTTATAATTTTTTCAATCTTTCTGCTGGTTTTGCTGATTGTAAAACAAGATGCAGTAAGTTCAAAAATGAGTCTTAAATTCTCTAGAGACTTCATGTGCATTGTTACCAAAGCCAGTTGTAGTTACCATAAATCTGTTCACCATTTTAGTAAGAAACTTTAGTTACAAAGTTATTTAAAAGGAAACAATGCAAGCTCAAACTGTCCTAAATCAACTCCCTCACAGCTAATTAAATCCTTCTGGTTTTTTGATCACCATATTTATTTCTTGAGAAATCTCTCTTGGGATCACAGAGTTGTGAGTCACAGAGATTTTTGGTCTGGGGAAACCAAAACTCAGTTGCACTAGCACTTTCCTGGGTATACTTGAACAGTAATCTTCTTCAATCCTTTCCAGGTAATCCTCTTTCCATGGGACAAAACTATGTTTTTGTCTTAAAGTTTTGAACATCTGTGGTGGTAGGAAAAAAACCAAAATAAATAGGTCATGGAAGTGCCTAATAGCCATGGAGTGAATTAATCATACTGGGAGTGGCTGTTGTCATGTACCAGATCTGCTGCATTTGTAAACTGAGTGACAGATATAATGGGAGATTTCTCACCTCCTGAGAGATCTGTGACTACTGTGTTACTGAAAAAAGAGTAGTGATGAACAGGAATTGCTGTGAACACACACAAGCTAAAAGCTCATTTCCCAGAAGAAAAGCCTATTTCAGCAACTTTACATTCAACTAAATAGTTTTTGTCCAGCTTTAAACAAAAATCTGATTCCACAAGTGTCCAATTTCCTTTTGTGCTCCTGAGGAGGAAGGTATGGTACAAAGAGAGATTTCTGTTGTCCTTCTTCCAATACTAGGAGTAAACCAAGAAAAACGAGAAGTCTCATAAAAAAATGTTATTTATCTACCCTGTTTGTGTCAGGAGGCACTAATTATGGATTTTCCTCCCCCAGTGAGGACACAGAAACAGTATCCAATAGCAGTGAAGGAAAGTGTGGCTCCCCACATGACCTTTTGGAGACCATCTTTATCCGGAAGGTGGGAGCTTTTGTCAACAAACCCATTAACCAGGTAACAAGCAGTAGATCTTCTCAGAGAGCACCTTTCTTTTCCCATCTGTTCATACATAGAGGAGCAAAAAGCACCCCAATGCCAGGGCAACCTCAGAGACTGCGAGTGCATATTTCTGCCTGCTGCATTTCCCTACAAGGTTTTACCAAGGAGTATTTTGTTTTTCATAAAATCCTTTTGGGATGTGACAGCCATTGACTTTGATCCACTTTGCTAACACCGTATTTGAGAACAGAAGACTTGATACTCCACTTGGATGTCAAAATGATCTGCCACTACCACAGGTCCATAAACTAGGAAAGCTCCCAAGCCTCCCTTCCTTGAAGGAACATGCAGTAGACCAGTTCATCACTAGAAGCAAGCATTTAAGTTCAGCTAGGGCAGCTTAGAGATCTGCTTGGTTCGAGGGCTGCAGTTCTAGGCCTTTTGGATGAAGGAATGAGAATTGTTTCAGTTTGTAGCAGTTCATTAATCCTTGCCTATATTATACTATATAGAAGCAATCCCATCTCAAGGTATAAGGTATGTATCTGCATTAGGTCAACTGAGTATCATCTTTGGATTTCATGTCTTTTAAATGAGGTTGTCAGCCTCCTGCCTAACTGCTGACATGACTTTGGGCTGTTTTAGCTGGCCTGACAAAGATGTTCAGTATCCTTTTCATGCCAGGTAAGCAGAGCATCTTAGTGAAATTCTGTTTGCTAAATCTCCTCAGGTGACCATGGCCAACTTAGACATTCCTTTTGCCATGTTTGCTCCCAAGAATGTTGAGCTGGAAGATAACGACCCCATGGTAAGACTCTTCCAGAGGTATATGTGCCTTCTCAGCATCCCTTATGCAAACATCCATGCTATTCTCTGCCTTGAATGCACTTTGGTTTTGGACAAAATAACTAGTTATTTAGATTTGTTTGGTTTCAAGAAGTCTCCTGTGTTGAATCTTGGGGTCTCTAGACATGCAAATAACAGCATGTGTTTGCTGCCCCTGCTCTAGTTAATGTTAATTGTCCAACCTCCTAACTGCCCCCCACTGCCAAAGCACACACAGACATGACTGTAAGATCAGTACTCACTGTCTTTGATTTCTTGGGCAGGTCAATCCTCCTGAATCCCCAGAAACGGAATCTCCTCTACAAGGCAGCTTACACTCGGAGGGCTCCAGTGGCAGCAGCACAGGGAACACCCATGATGACTTTGTTATGATCGACTTTGTAAGTGCCCTCATCAGAGCTCTTACACTGCACCTTAGGGGGGCTTCACGTGCTGGTGTGATGGCAAATGATGTCAGAGTACTCTTCAGTGGGAGTGGTAAAGACACATCAGTCACAGTACCACACTCTAGGGCATGACAGTCCCAGAACTGCAAAGGCACTAGTACCAGGAATCAACAGCTACAAATGAAATACCATTTCACTTCTCTACTAACATCTGGGCTTGGCATTCTGTCTCTTAGCACCTAGAGGAGCCAGATTCCAAAGAAATGTTCTCTTCCAGTTGCTCAAGTGCTACTGTGATATCAAGTGGTATTGGCTGTTCTTCAGTTATTTAATAGGCATTATTGCAGCAACAGTTGCAATGCCAAGATGTTTACTGATAGCAGGTAATGACTTTGCCTGAGATTATAACAAAAGGGAAGCCAGTGTCTCTGGGAACTAACAGCAGTGTCTTTGATTGTAGAAACCAGCATTTTCAAAAGATGACATTCTTCCAATGGACCTGGGGACATTTTACCGTGAATTTCAGAACCCCCCTCAACTCAGCAGCCTCTCCATTGACATTGGAGCACAGTCCATGGCAGAGGATTTGGTATGGAATCCTGAAAATTCTGTTTGTGGAAATCATATGTACCTTATAATGCTCTCCCTATTTCTAGTTGGAAAAAGTATCTTTATAGAACTGCAGAACAGTTTGGGTTGGAAGGAACCTTTCAAGGTCATCTAGTCCAACCCCTCTGCAATGAGCAGGGATATCTTCAACTAAATCTGGTTGCTCAGCCCCATCTAACCTGGCCATGATATTTCCATGGATGGGGCATCCACCACCTCTCTGGGCAGCCTGTTACAATTTCTCAGCAGCTTCATAAAAATTCTATCTTTTATCTAGTGTGAATCTACTCTCTTTCAATTTAAAACCATTTCCCCTTGTCCTATCACAACAGCCTCTGCTAAAAAGTCTGTTTCCATTTTTCTTAAAGGTCTCCTTTTAGTACTAAAAAGCCAAAGTAAGGTCTCCTCAGAGCATTCTCATCTTCAGGCTGAATCACCCCAAGTCTCTCAGCCTGTCTTAACAGGAAAGGCGCTCCAGCCCTCTGATCATTTTTGTGGCGCTCCTCTGGACCCACTCTAACAGGCCCCATGTCTTTCCTATACTTTACAGAACAGAGACCCTGCCCAAAGGGAGACCATCACTAATATATTCCAAGTAAATGCAGATTTGTTTCTGGTACACCTGACCCTCTAAAACTGGTGTGTTTGTCTTGAAGCTGAATGCTGCTGCAGCATGCTTGCTCTACGTCATTGAAACCCCCCAAACTAATCCTGCCTCTGGGGTGTCTCACTTGGTGGCAAACCAGGCCTGACTTTGCAGCCTGAGCAGAGTCAGAGTTCCAGTGTGGCTGGTGAGTCACATCTGGGTGAGTGCTCTGTTAGGCTCTCTGGCATTGTACCATACTGTGGAGAAAAATGAAAACCAGAGAGCAGCAAGTGACTTGATGAAGGCAGTGATGTGAGTGGGTTATTGTGCTGCAGCTGGTGGGATTGCACAAGGTGAGGCCCCAGTGCACCTCCTGTTCCTGCAGAACAAACAGACTCTGGGCAGAGTGCCCGGCTCAGGGTCACTTGCTGGCTGCTGCCAGGGGGCTCGTGCTTTTGTGCACGTAGAAAGGTGAGCCCAGAGCATTGGTGAGGGATTGCATGACTCAGATTTTTTTTACTAGTGTGTTTAACATTTTCTTCTGTCTGCTGTGAATGAGCCCTGATCCACATCTTTCCTTACCTTCCAGGACTCATTACCAGAGAAGCTGGCAGTCCACGAGAAAAACGTCAAAGAATTTGATGCTTTTGTGGAAACCTTGCAGTGAAGCTGTTTCCCAGTTCTGCTGCAGCAATTCTTCCTCCTCAAGGCATCCTGGAGATGACATCAATATCTCTATCGCCCCAGCTCTGCCTTTTGTTCACATTGACTAGTTCCTTCCATCAAGTGAGCTTTCTTTTCTCTCTTCAATGACAGATACAGCTCATCTGCTGATTCTCCTCAACTTTTCCACCACATAGTTCTGGACTGCTTTTCCTGCTCACAGTCAGTTTTAAGACTTCAGTAGGGACACAGGAAGTCAAACTCCAGTGTATGGAAACCTACTTTCTCTTCAGTCTGTGTCTGTATGGAGGGGCTTTGTGGAAAGTTGTCATATGCTTCCTCCAAGGGTCCTATGGTGTAAGTTCCCTAGGTAGAGCTTCTTGCTAACAGACTTTTTCCTGCAGTCTCTGATCCTGTTAGAGCATAGAAAGCTTTGGCTTATTTCCACAGGGTCTGTGAGTTCAGCAAATTCAACTGTTTGAAGTCCAGGACATCCATTCCACAGAACTGGGCATTTCATCCTGACTTCAGAGTACGTGCTTGGAGCACAGGGAGAGACATCAGCTTTGGGACCTGCATAATCCAAGTTACCTTTTTTTCCTGCTTCTAAGGAATTGGGTCTCTACACAGTGCAAGGCCCTGTGTTAGGTGGCTGATAAGCAGGAGTGAAACTACAGGAATATTTTCCTCATGTCCTTCCCAAGTGCACTGACATTCGGCCATGCTGGGTTAAAGAGTGTTGACTGTTGGCAAGCCTGCACATAGCAGCTGTGATGATGCTGAATTCATAGTCTCTGCTTCTGAAACATAACTGTAAATACTAGGAATCCTATTTCTTTAGGGTTATGTAACTAGGAGTCTTAGTCCAAGATTTTTTCCTCTAATCCTTGCAAGCCTTCCTGCTTTATGGTTAATAGATGATCTTAATAATTAAAAAATATTTATTGCTTTTAAAGAAACCTATATTTAAAAGATGTTCTGTTTTCATGTTATAGTGCGGGTCATTCTGTCCTGATCACTGCAGAGAGCAAGTGTGCCATGGAACCCTAGCCAGTGAGGCTAGTCTCTCTTTGCAGGAAAATATCCAAGATATTTATTTTCTAAGACAGACTTGATTAATATTGTACTCTGTTTTGGGGACTATGTGTCCATTACATCCAGTCAGGGCTCACTGATAGAATGAAATGCACACATCAGTGGAATGGAGTGGCAGGGACTTGGTAAAAAGCTGTTTTCTGATAGGTATGGATGAATTTGTAGTGTTCTTTGGCCATTCAGAAGGCAGCTTCTTTAAAGAAGCACATTTTTTTGGGAAGCTTATGGTACTTTTTAATCAGCTGGCTTTTTAGTAGCTGAAATTTTATTTTTGTAATAATCCAGCCACTGACAGTGTGACTGGCTGGAATTGCTCAATGGGTGATTTGGCTCTTGCATGTCTTCTGCCTCATGTAAGGATGGGAGGAGAAACAGTGACACTAAACAGAAACTTGGATAAGGTGAGTTTCCTTGTGGTTCTCTCTCCTCCTGCCCCATGTAACTAGAGTGAGCAACTGCAAGACCCCTAACTGTCCAAAACCACTTCTTTTCTCCCTTGTTTCTTTTAAGTGGAGCTATGTTGTTTGAGTACTGAGAAACCATCTTCATTTCCTCAGAGTGGCTGAGTAACCAGCCTTCTAGTTGGTGCAGTGTGGCAGCTTCTTCAGCTTAGCTGCATTCTTCATTGGAAGAGATTGCCTGCAGCTGATGGGAGAACCCCAGCTCCAGTCTGGAACACTATTTCTGTGCCACTGCTGGAGCAAGGAGCCAAATTCAGAGCAGAACTTACTATAAGGCCAGAGCAAAGCAATGCTTTGAACTTTATGGGAATTTTTGTTGAGAGCTGTGTTGGTGGGAGCACTTCTAAAACTCCAGATAAGAGCTTCGTTGAAGGAAAATTACCCACCAGAACCTTTTTATTTTACTCAACTGATTCAACTTCTTAGCAACCTCACATGGAAATTGCTTTGTCCGTGCAAAGTAAGATGCACAAACATTTAAGAAAGGTTCCAAGATGAAACATTTTGTAACAGGACTTCAGTTACATGGGCTGTAACAAATACCTGATACCCATCCACGGGCCACCTTGTTTTACAGGTGGAAAGGGTCGCAGAAGGGTGCAGGAACACAAGGAATTAATGGATCAACTGCCTGTCACCTTTGCTCAGGAAATTGGTTTGCCACTTTGTAGGAAGTAGCTCATAGACAGGTGGTTGTCAGCTTTAGTCTCTAAAGTGACACAGTCTGGGCTGCAGAGCAGCAGAGATGAGGCAAGGGGCTGGTTCACGCCGTATGAATAGAGAATAGTTGAGGTTAAACTTCATCTAGCCAGCACTCCTGCTGTGCTCTTCTGCTAACAAGCTGTGGAGCTGGCAGGGAGCACTGCCATTCTTGTTAATCCCACCCAGGAGGTCAGGGCTTGTACTTGTGCTCCTTTATTGATGGAGTTCCTAACGTGGCTACAGCTCTCACATCTCATAAGGCAAAATGTCACTGTGGCACGTTTTCTTCTCTTCAGAAAGCTGGGAAATTGCCTATATAAGCTGCTAGTGTTGAGCTGGATGGCCACAGCAGTAAGAGATTCTCCAGGGCTGAGTTACCTGCCTCTTCTCTAGACAGTCCTCACTTTCAAAACACAGTTGCTACATCTAGGCTCTGAGTTCCCTGACCATTGCACAAATGCTCTGCTTCACTAAAGACTTAGCTGCTTCTATGGCCTGCCACAGATTGTGTTATGAAGGCTGTTTATTTTAGCAGCTCTCTGCTCAGCTCAATATTAAGGACAGTATCTGTGTAGCTGCTGATTTACAGATACTTTGGGTGGAGGGGAAGGTTCCTCAAGTGTATTGTTTTGGAAAGTCTCCGGTGTACTTCAAGTATTCAAAGAATTTCCAATAAAACTTTTGTGTAAGCAACACTCTCTGCATTTTTCTGTGTACCAGCAGGTCTGGGACAGTTTCAGGCTCATGCTTGTTTTCGTCCAGGAAACAGGAGGATCAGTGGCCTGTCAGTGAATGCAGGACAGAGCAAGTTGCTGCCTCCATCAGAGGGCAAAATGGATTGGTGCATAATAGTGGGAGAGGTCAGTGGGATCTTCCTGAGATCAACCTACTGGAAGGACAAGAGGGACAGACAGAACAGGTGCCTGGAGGTGGGAGGAACAGTGTTTGACCCTGCTGACCTCAGCAGTGAATTGGGAAACTGAAATATTAATTCATCTCCAGAGAAAAGGGGTAGGAAAAAGGGGAAAATATACCCACAGAATTCGCATTGTACATAGTTGCTACTACACACTTAAAGAAGCATAAGAATGTTTTGAGTTGACAGGAGAGATAGCAGAGACTTAATAAAATATGGAAAGAATACCCAAAATTAACAGCTGTATTCTAGTATTGGTAAAAGTTAACTCTGTATAACACATAATGCCAGGTGTGGTACCAACACCTTCCCTTTAAAGGAAGGACAAGATTATAAAAATCCATGTACTAATAACAACTGCTGATTTAAGCTTCAGTGTAAAGGGTGTCTGGTTATTATAAAAAAAGATAAAGTGAATAAAATGACAGAAATGGAGGGAAAAAAAGAAAAATTACTCTGTGTATTAGAAGCTTCTATGAAGGGAATATTCCAGCCTGGAATACAAGGGTAACTAATAAAAGCAATCTTTTCTTAATCACATCTTCAGAAGGTAACACAGTAAACTGAGCATACTGCTGGAATCTTACAGATACCAAGCTGTCTAGATTATATGCATGTATACATGTGTAATTATGAGTGTCATTTCAAGAACTTCAAAAAGACATGGTGCAGTGTCAAAACTCACAGAAACCATCCTGTAGGATCTGGGGCTTACTACAGGGCTTTCAGTATCCATTATTTACACCATGTCATCAGGAAGACAAGGGATTGGAAAAACCATCAGGAAATAAGCAATAAAGTAAACAATCACGTAAGTATGATTAACCACCAAGGTAATGAACAATTAAATACCATCACTTTGTGAGCCTACTTTATGTATTTATAAAAAATGTTCTCAGAACAGTGTCCATAAAGTCAGGGCGCAGCTACTCATGAGAACGTGTCCAGTTGCAATGGTGTTCATGCTGTGTTCCGTACTGCCCATGGTTGCACATACCGTAGGTTCTGCCACTGCTGCTCCCTGTCAGGGACAGATGCACCTGCTCTCCAGCTCCTCTGAGCTGATGTTGCTACAGCACAATGCCAGGCAGGTCACTGTGACAAAGCCCAGAGCCAGGACCAGCTGCTACACTGAGAGGAGGTTTGAGATCTCGCTGTATAGTTGGCACGTTAACCACACTGACCCCATTACAGGGGCCATGTCAACCTGCAGAAGGGGAACTGGCAACACTGGGAAGCCCTTAACTGGTACAGTAAAAACTGACAGGCAGCACACAGTTTAGACATCAGCATCAACACATGACCCTGACATACCATCACTGACATCCCAGCAGTCAGGCTACTGCCCAGTGCTGATGGTTTTAGCCCCAGCACTCTCCATTCTACTCCTAATTCTTGCATCCTATCCAAAAAGCTTACTGATGTAACAGGCAAATTGCAGTCTTTAGGAAAAAGTAGTGAACTGAATATGGATCAAGGGGAGTGTGGTGGTCCTAACCAGACTACTGTTCATCAAGTTATCAATCCACATACACTGAAATGAGAAGGTGTAGGCTTCTGCTGAGTGTATCATCTAGCTCCAGGATAAACTCAGCCAGCTAATCCTAAAGTGACTCCCACTTGGCACCCTTGGAAATCCTAGGCAGACTGCTCATCATGACAGGAAGATGGTAACATGGAAAAACAGCCCTCTTCAGAAGAGCCAAATCTATACTACTTAATTTTTGTTTTAATTCTGTTTCCAGCCCAAGGCTCCTGCAACCTAGTATTTCTTCAGTTTCTCACATAGGAGGCATTTCATACTTTCCTTCCTTGCAGCATGGTTGTAGCTGGCAGTATAGACAGCCCTACTTGTTTCTTGTAGATGTGTCACTGCTGCTGCCACTTGACGAACATGTCTGGATCTGAGATTACATTTTGATTTTTATTGAAATACAAAAAGTGCAAACTGTGAAATACAAGATTGGTGCAGATTAAAAGAAAATAAACAGTGTGAACTGTGAAAACCCAGGCCTGCACCTGATGAACATCAACAAAGAAGAAGGCAGGGAACACCAGCAACAAAAGCAAAGCCGAAATTTTTGCACAGGAGCCCCTGTGCATAAAAAAGGAAGCTGGGACCAATCTGGCCCTCAGCTCTCTCATGTTAACACACAAGGCATCTGGATGGCCCCAGACCCCCTGCACCACCCAGAAGCTCTGGTGTCAGTTCACAGCTTGGGCAAGGGAGTGATCAGAGGCCATTAAGACAGCAGGAGGCTTAGCAGAGGGGAATGTTCTAGGTGCTAAAAGCAGGAGGTTGATGCAGAACAAGTACCCCCACAGGAAGAAACGCCTAATAGCTAACCTGACAGGTAAGCCAGGGAAGAGACCCTTGGGCAGCTCTATAGCAAGGAGAAAACCAACAGAGACCAGCACCGTAACTGTATACCACCCCCGACCTATACAAGGCAGAGAAACCCAGCCCAGCCAGCACCCTGCCCATGTGAGGAGGGAATTTAACCCCCTGGCTTTGGCAGGTGCAGGCTCTGGTAACCACCCACCCGACACAGGCTGCAGGCAGGCCCGGGCCAGTTCTTTCACAGGAGGGAATATTTCAATACAAGGCATTCAGAAGAACAGACTGCAAAAGCAACCCTGGTTACTGTGCCTGCTCCAGGGCCCTCAGCAGCTCCAGCACAAGGAGCAGCAGAGGAAAGGGGATATTTACAGTGGGTCCCTTCCAGGATTTGCAAGCACTTTCCCACCATGAGCAGTAGTAGTTCCCTGAACACTCTCCAAATCTGCTCCCTGCAAGCACTGAACTGGAGCAGGCTTTTATCCCTGCCAGCAGGGGATGAACCAGCCTCTATTTTGCTAAAAAAGGAAACGTCATTTCAAGAATTCACTAAAAAAAACAAACCAAAAAAACCCCAAAAAACCAACCTAAATCCCAAAAATACCCTAAAATAAACCACCAAAGTTCAGCCAGAACTCAGATGCTTGCAGTATTCCCTCCACTTTCCCCATGGACAGGAGCTACTCCAGCACTGCTCCTCTGGCTACTGGGCAGGGAACAGTCCTTGCTGCTCTGCAAGGCCAGAACATGCCACCTTCCCCAGAGAGTGCATAGGGCCAGGCCTCATGCACACAGGCACTTGGATTCCAGGCTGCTGAGCTTGGGCATTTGTTCCAGAAGTTAACTGGGCTTGCCTTTCCTCTATGGAGATGAAGGTGAAGCCAGTGTCAGCTGCAGATACAGTCAGAGCACCAAGTCTCCTTCTCCCCCTACCAAAGCCTCCACAGAGCAGGATGCCTACAGGGAAAGAGGGGCTGCACTGGGCTCCCTCAGCCTCCACGGCCTTGCCCCTTAAACACTGGGGGAAGTACACCTCTCTCCACACCAGTCCACCACAGATTACTCCTCCACAGCACATCAGCCCTGCTAACTCACTCTAGAAGAGACCACAAGTGAATTAGGAGCAGATTATCTCTCCCTCCAAAACATTTACTTAGCTACTGCTGTGAATTGTTCAGGATGAAACAATTCATATCCTGGCCAAACAGAGAAGGCTCCTACTCTTGGAAGAGGGAGACTTGAAGAAGTCAGCAGCCTAGTAGCCTCCATATGGCAAAGTCTCCTGGTATCTAGAAAGGATCAGATCCAGTCCTATCTTAGAACCTCTCTAGCTCAAAGTCTTAGTAATATTCACCTTCCTGTGCACTGTTCCCACCCACATGTTGGTGTACCTCCTCCAAGGCAGCTGCCTGGACCTGCACTGCCTTGCAGAGCTGCCTACGTTTGCACCCATCCCCACTCCAGAGTTTAGCAAAAACAGCAATCTCCTTAATTCCTGCAGCAGATGCCACTTACTTTGAGTACACCAGGGGCACTGACCCTTGGTCAGTGTTTAAAGGCAGGCTAAAATATTATGAAAAAGCAAATTCTCTTTAGCATCCAGTAGCTTTAAAAAAAACAGTTCTGCTTGGTCCAAAAGATTTGTCCCTGAGGCCAGATGCAGCACGGAGGTCTGGCCCAGGCACACAGGGCACAAGATACAAAGGTAAATCACACCAGTGAAGTAAGGCTAGAAGCTCCCTCCTAAAACCCAGACAGGCCCAGGCTGAGGAGAAGGATCTCTTTTAGCTCAGGTAATGGGAATGAGGCAATGCAAACCCAACAGAGATGCTGTGACAGTATCACAGCTGCCCCAGGGAGGTGCCAGGACCACCCCATTCTGAGCCTGCCTTGCAGAGAACATGATCTCTCCAGCTGTGCCCAAGGCATACAGGATGTCTCTGACCAGATCCCAGGGTGCAAAGTATGAACCCAGGAGGAGACACAGCAAAGGTCCTTGGCATGGAATAGCTGTTCCCTCACAGCTTTGGCACAAGTGCTCAGCACCTGGGCAGAAATTTGTAATCCAGGCCTGGTACATTCCATAGTGAGGGTTAGCCCCAGTCCACAGACCTTCCATCAAGGCCACGCTCTCTGTTACACTGTGCTGGGGAAAGTTGTGCTCAAAAAGACAACTAACTAGTCAAGGCGGCCTGTGCCAGTCAGCACAGATAATTGTGCCAGAAGAGGAGGCCTCGTGCTGCTGCCAGGACAGATGGTGATCCTCATGGTGTTCAGCAGCTCAGTGCCACCAGGGCACTTGCTCCTGCCATTCAGACTCACCAGCTGTCAAAGGGTCACAGCTGGCCTGCACGCACAGCCAAGCCTGGCATGAACCTTCCCAGCCAGGCTGGACGTGCTGCTGGAGGGACAAACACACCTGAGCTGGATAACTACAGAGG